TGTTTGGGGCAGTTCGGGGGGCCAGTGCTTGTGGTGGACTTGTAACATTTGATTTGCATATTTGCCTATTCACTATTTGCATAAAATATAAAAATATGCAAATACAATGTTACCAGTCTGCCAAAGGTTTGTGAATGGATTTGCCGGTCCCTGGTATAAAAAGGGTTAGGAACCACAGATTTAGGACCTCAGATTGAGGTGCCTCTAGCTAAAAAAAAATGACTAGTTAGTCATTTCATCATTGTGATTTGATTTGCATATTTGCCTATTCACTATTTGCATAAAATATAAAAATATGCAAATACAATGTTACCAGTCTGCCAAAGGTTTGTGAATGGATTTGCCGGTCCCTGGTATAAAAAGGGTTAGGAACCACAGATTTAGGACCTCAGATTGAGGTGCCTCTAGCTAAAAAAAAATGACTAGTTAGTCATTTCATCATTGTGTATGTACCAGTAGAGATGCAAATATACAACTGTATTATTTCTATGTTCATTGTCCTTTCTGTTAGAATAACACACATTTTTGGATAGTGCTATGGAGCCTCTTGAACTTGCCATAGCTTGGGGCCTCAGCAGGTCTTAATCCAGCCCTGGGAAGGCCCTTTAGGCTTGATGGTCTCGAAAGGGACCCAGAGAAGCATTTCGGTAGCATGAGCCTTTAAGAAACAACTGGAAACATGTTTTTGCTCTCTCGAGTGACATGTTTTTGCTCTCTCTCAGCAGAGCAATTGGCTTATCTGAGCACCTTCAGTGGCTTTGAACACTACTCAGTGCTGTAACATTTTCATGCACTAGATTATGCTCCCTCTGGAGGGCAATGAGATCTCTCTGGTAGTGCAGAGGTGTGGGTCAATTGTCATTTGTCATCATTGCTTTCAGGACGATGCTACACTTGCACCAGATGGCTGAGAGCAACTCCTTTGGAATCCGGCCGTGTGCAAAGGTAGGACTGAGCAACCCAGTCACATCTCCTCTTGTTTCGCCTGCCCTGCTTTTCTCTGGACTGCTCTGTATAGTGCTGTTTGGTGTGAGTGGCTTTGTTCCAACACACCAGATAATAAGACTCTTGCTACAAGGAGTTAACCTTTACAATGACATTTCCCCAGGTTTTATAAATATGGTGCAGATGGAGAGTTTGTCAGCTCTGCATTAGTAGAGAAATAGCCCTCCGAGCAAACTATCAGCAAATTTTCATACAGTGTCATGGATGTCTAGACAGGAAATTTCAGGGGCATTGTGTGGTGTGTGGAATGCCCAGGTCATGAATTTTCTTGAGATATTTTGAACCTAAATGTGGCTCCTGAGAAGGACTGGCTGGAAAACAAGAATTCTGTTTTGTGAAACAATTTTGAAGTTTCCAGATTTGTTTTTGTTCTACACTGGTATAAAAACAAGATCTTGTGAAAACCCAGAAAGCACACACTCCTGATCCAGAGCAGGTAGTGTCTTTCATGGTGTCTCTCACATCCCAAGGAAGTGCCTTCCAGACTCCTGGCTTCTCCTTCTCTCTCTGACCAGAAATATCCAAGGCCTGACAAACCTCCCCAATGACATTTTCATTAACTGCAACATTTCCATGCCAATTTTCACTTTTGAGGTCACAATATTTTCTGGTGAAAATACATTTCATTGATAAATGCTTTATCTCTCAGTAAGATTGGAGAGTTAGGATGCATGGGCCTGAACCAAATTCTGGGAGCAAAACTCCTCTGAATTATTTGCACAGATCCTCCTTCCTTAAATGGATGATTCATTTCAGGATGGATGGATATTCTCAGAAATACAGCTGTCTGTCCTAGGATGCCTTTGTCACACCATCTGGCTCACAACGCAGTTGGATTTTGTCCTTCTTCTCAGTCCTGGATGGCAGTGTGTGTGGTGTGTCACAAAGGAGGGCAAACAAGAAAGCCTGGGCATGTGGCACAAGGTTGCTGAGCTGATTTGTCAGCTGGTCTGAAAATAGTTTTCTGGAATGAAAAACATCCAATCTTTTAATACCGCTTTGCCTGTGCCAGCCCAATGCTACGACATCAGAATGTTGACTCCTAGCTCCAATCAGCCAGTGAGGCCAGTCTTCATTGCCCACTTGTTACATTTCCCAACAAGCACCTTTGTGGTTTCTCCTACACTGCCCCTCGCACTTGGGAGAAGCTTTCCATGCGCACTTTCTAAGCTACCTCCTTCTCATTTCTCCCGACACCTCTTCTTTGCCAGTTAGCCACGGGTGTGCTGAGAGCACTGCCTATCATGCTAACAGTCACATTAGGTTCAAGTGCTCCACTAGCTCTGTGTCTGTCTGTCTGACTCTCTATCCCCAGACACCACCTCTCTCTCTCTCTCTTTCTCCATCCCCATACTATCTATCTATCTATCTATCTATCTATCTATCTATCTATCTATCTATCTATCTATCTATCTATCTATCTATCTATCTATCTATCTATCTATCTATCTTCTTTTGTAAGCTCCTTGGGACAGGACCATCTGATCACTCTGTTTCAGCATCAGGGGAGGCCCGTCCATATAGGTGAACTAGGCGGTCGCCTAGGGCGCCAGTTGCTGGCAGCTAGTCTAGGGCCGCCCATGCTCAGCATCTAACACAACTGAATCCTGCTCCTGGGCGAGGGTTCCTAGCCATTCTGGCAACATAAATAGTAAATACCAACGATAGCAGCTGTAGGAAATCAGTGCGCCCTGGTGTCCTGCTGGCTAGTTAGGTGGGAGCTCTGCAGTTAATGGGATCCCCAGCAATCTGAAGCTGTCCCCTTGATCCTACACAATGGCTCTGACACACAGTTCTTATGTTGGTTCCCAGTGCTAGCTGGCATGATAGGCTTGGCCCTTCTGTTGTGCCAGGCTCTGCTGAGCTCTGTTGAGGTGGTGAGTGATGAGACTATGTAGGGCAGAGGGATACAGGGCCCATAAAGAAGCTGAAATTGCTCAGTGCAGCTTTAACAGTGAGTACCCGTGAGTCACTGCTAGCTGATCAGAGGGAGGTCTGGTGAAGGGATGCACAATTAGCAGGCAGTCACATAGAGTTCCTGGGTGTCTGTAGTGGGGCAGTCTAGCACCCTGCTGGATTCGACTTTGTCTCAACCTTGTATTGCAAAATTCAGCAGTTCTCCCTGCTGCACCTTTAAGGAAATATGCCTGCCCCTGTTATTCAGTTAACTAAGACAGAATGCACTGTTCTAAGTATGTGTGAATAATTTCTGATATTTCTTTGTGATCGTAGTTCTCAGATGGGTGAGATCATGCTTTGCAGAACAGCAGAATCATATTTTAGGGGCTATCACTGCATTAGGTTTTCATCATCTGCTCCTTATGTGTGCTGGGATTAGGCATTTTACCAATGTGGCAAAGCACTGGCACGAATTACAGCAATTTGCAGCTATATCAGCAATCGGTACAATTCAATTGTCAGTCGTCATTATGGAGCTGTTAATCAGATCCAATGGCTAGACAAATTAGCTGCTTCTGCAACTGATCTGCAGGCCACAGGCTGGGTGGAGTTTGCAGGCTTGGCAGTGAGCTCTGCTTTCACAGCCACCCCAAAGGGTTCAAGTGGAAGCTGCTTATTCCCCAGTGTAATGACCTTCTCCCGTCATTCCGAATGCCTGGGTTTGGATAGAATTGCAAATATCCTACCTGTGGACAATTCCTGTCAATAATGCACCTGGCCCATTTTCTCCAGCCCCATGGTGCATTGCAAGGCAAATGTGAGTGACGGCTCAGCTCTGCTGGCACTTTATATCTTTGGCAGCAGTCATTGGGGAAGGCTGGATCCACCTACGTTTGTGAATCTGAAACGGACAAAGGAAATGAGATGAGGTTGGGGCATTTCTTTTCTCCTTTCTCAGTGTTGGTCCGCTGCCCATGGGATGAATTAAACAGGAATTCAGGCTGCAATCTCTGAGATCCTGCCACAGGCAAAGGGCTTCTTGCGTTACATTTTAGTTAACGCTGGGGTCAGAAGACCTATATATAAGGTTGTGCAATGGGCTAGCTGAAGTCTTTCAGTACAAAGTGGAGGGTGGCGTTGTTCTTTCTTTCTCTTGCTTATTGATCTCTCTGGATTTCACGTCTTACTTCCCAGCGCTGTTAATGTGGTGAATGTGTGAAGGAAAGTGAACTAATTAACAGTAAGCATAGAAAAATGAAAATGGCGTCTATTCAAACCAGCCTGTTAATCTTTCCTCAGTTTCTTCAATGCACTCTTCAGCGTGCACATTTCTTTAGTCTGAGCAAATCGGCAGATTGAAAAGAATGAAGATGCTGGATTCTCTCAGGGGACACAGGCAAGGCTCCAACAATCTCTGGGCAGTGTGACCGGGGAGGCTCAGCTCTTTCAGAGTTCTAATGAGCCTCTCTGCCTAGGGATGTTAAATATCGTTTAATTGAACAGTCAATTAAGCTCATGAATTCTTATTGGTTACTTGACTGTTCTATAGTCCCTGGGCAGCCCCTGTCCAGAGAGTAGGGATCTGAGCTCCTGGACCCAGCACGAGCCAGAACTGAGCCGGGCTGCCTGCCCGCTTGGCTCCTAATACACTTTAAATGCAAAGCTGCAGCGAGGGTAGGTCCCGTACCTAGCGTAAGCCAGGACTGAGCTGGGCTGCTGGCCAGCCTGCTAAAAAATGTACTGGCAAGGGATGGAGGAGAGGGGGCAAAATGCATGTAGTTTATAGTGTTAACCTATAGGCTTTTGCCTATCGGTTAATCGATTAATCGACTACACTATTACATCCCTATCTCTGCCAATTTGTGCTGTCTGGGACATGTAGTCAGTGGATTAGTGGTTCACTGGACAGCAGCAGCACTTGCAGTTGCAATGTGGTTCATGGTGGCAGTGCCTGTTTGAGATGACTGACAGGCACTGCAGGTGGCTCACAGGTTGCCTGCCATGCAATGGAAATCACACGCTGCAGAATCGATGCCTCTAATCTCTAACTCTAGTCTCCAGCCCATTCCAGGTGCACATGGGCAGAGGTCTGTGAGCACCAATAATTTACAAATGTGGCAGGACACATGGAAATCGACGCCCTCAGCATCGGCTTCTCTTCCTGCTCAGCAAGATCAGTTGGGAAGTTTTCCCTGCAGCGTGAAAGGCCCTTTTGCAAGCCAAATTCCGATATTAGGCTTCAATTGGGCTGCAGAAGCATCCACTGCCAAGCACCACCAGATGGTCCATGTGATCTCTGGCTGGGTTTGGAATTAGATCTGTTCCTGAAACAATATGACCTGTTCTACTCAGGCAGGGCTCCCTGAGGCCTCTTCCATCTGCTCCCTTCCTGGCTGCATGAAGAGTTAACAAGAGTGACGATGGGTGTGGAAAAGAAATTAACAGGAAAGTCACAACAGGCTTTTCCCCAGGTAATTGCTACAATACTGTCTGTATAAGCCAAAGGCATATAGACTGTGTTGACATTGCACTGCTCTTCTGGAAAAAGCTACGCAAAATGTGAACTGCAATCGGCGTAGCTTTTTTTCACTTCTTTTTTCGGAAGAGGCTTTTTTCAATATTTGGCCCGTTTACACAGGGCCAAATGTCGGGAAAAACTTTTTTCGGAACATCTCTTCTTCTTCGTAAAATGAGGTGTATACGGATGCCGAAAAAGCGTGTCTGCTCTTCCAAAAAATATTTCAGAAGAGCAGACGCGTTTCCTGGATGCAGCAGTTTTTCTGGGATACTTCCAGGATCCCGGGAAAACACTGCAGTATAGACATAGCCATATTGTGTCCCCTATTCAGAGTTGGATAATCCTGGAAGAAAAACAGATGGGGAATTGCTCTCAGTGATTGTCTATATTTCTCTCTATTGTGGCAGTGAATTCTGCCCTGCAGTATCAAGCAAACTACATGGATTTATTCTGATTGCATCCCTCCAGGGACTACCTGTGGCAGATCCAGGGGCCAATACCAAAAAAGAGAAAAACCTTCACA